TCATTCATCATTTAACTTTTTTTAGGAAGTAAACAAGCATGGGATAATTCAGTGTTTTGAGGGAATCATAGCACATGACTTAACTTTAGCTTTAGACATCATTTCCCCAAACCCCCCGTGCTTCCACTAGGAGATACTGGAATAGTTTTGTTGGTGGAGATGTTTAGGATAGATAAGTGATTTTCTAGCCTTTTAAAATCTTCAAGGGCGCCTGGATTTCACAGAATGTTTATATGTGTTGATTTAGACACTGTACCTCATAACCATTAACATCTTTCCTAGGTCTAATAGTTTAGACTAGACTAGTGAAAGGTAGAGAGAAGCATATGGTAACCAAATTTATAGGAATTAAATACTTAACATGTTTGTTAAAACCTGAAATATTTTCTCTTAACATTTTAAAATAAAATATTAAAATGATTTTATGCAAACAAATTTGATTTACTAAAATTTAGAAATGCTAAATTGAATTATTCTGACACTCGTATTATGATTTAATTATGAGGTGATTAGACTAGTGTCATGAAGTCTGGATCTCGTAGATAACACTGAAAAAACATCATGGAGGGGAGCAAAGTAGTAATATAAGTAAAGAAGTACTAGAGACCATGCACAGGTGATTACGTTTTTCAACATACATATAATTGAAATGAAATGTTTAGTTTTCCTCTTCTTTTTTTTTCATTTTCAGATCCAGTTATGGGACACAGCAGGACAAGAGCGATTCAGAAAGAGCATGGTACAGCACTACTACAGAAATGTACATGCCGTTGTCTTCGTGTATGATATGACCAACATGGCTAGTTTTCACAGCCTGCCATCTTGGATAGAGGAATGCAAACAACATTTGCTAGCCAATGATATACCACGGATTCTTGTTGGAAATAAATGTGACTTGAGAAGTGCCATTCAGGTACCCACAGACTTGGCACAAAAATTTGCTGACACGCACAGTATGCCTTTGTTTGAAACTTCTGCTAAGAACCCCAATGATAATGACCATGTGGAAGCTATATTTATGACCTTGGCTCATAAGCTTAAGAGCCACAAACCATTAATGCTTAGTCAACCCCCTGATAATGGAATTATTCTGAAGCCTGAACCAAAGCCTGCAATGACATGCTGGTGCTAAATAAGTCTTCATTATACTATCTAATTTTGACTAAAGGAATACTTTTGGAGTATGACAATGATAAGTCATAAGATTTAACTCAACTATAATGGATCATCCTGACACTTTACCATTTATCATTGTTATGCTTACTTTTGTGTTTTGTATCTACTTAATCAAGTTTGTCACTGGGATAACACAAGGAAAATGTTGGTTTTCAGGTGAGATTGAAAGTGAACCAGATAGGATGAATCAGAACATCTCTCCATCGAGAGCGCAATGAAAGAGGCTTCAAATGAGAGCATGATGAGATTTTAAGAGTCAGTAACTATTCAATCCCATGTTCCTGGGATTGAAAAAATATCAAGTGTTTAGTATACACCTTTGAATGTCCTTTGAATGGGAAGTGTTCCCAATAGGGTAAAAACTAGTATCCGCCTCTCCACAGAGTTTGTTCTTTGGTTTTGGGGTTTTTTTGTTTTGTTTTGTTTTTTATTAGAGACAGGGTCTCACTATGTTGCCTGGACTTGCCTCGAACCCCTGGGCTCAAGCAATCCTCCTGCCTCAGCCTTCTGAGTAGCTGAGACTACAGGCATATGCCTTTCTTTGTTTTATTAGCATATTTAATTGTGTTATTATTGGTATATTTTTAGAGCCAAGACTTTAGTTCCAGTGGGATAAGAAGGCCTAGAATGTTTTCTGGTTCTCAGTCCATAAAGAATGACTTTTCCAACAGTTCTAGATGCTTGATTTTTTTTTTTTTAATTTTTTTTTAACAGGGATCTCACTATGTTGCCCAGGCTGGTCTCAAACTCCTGGGCTTAAGTTATCCTCCTGCCTCAGCCTCCCGAGTAGCTGGGATTACAGGTGCATACTACCATGCCCAACTTGTTATTTCTAATTATTATCAATCAGGTCTACAAAAATCATTGTTACTTTTAAAAGAGTAATTTGAATTGTTCTCTTACCAAGTTCTATTAAAATATGCAAAAATGAGATTTTAAGGCAAATGAAGTGACATAATAAGGTGCTTTATATTTTATTTTGATATCTTTAAACAGTAAAAAAGTCATTGAAAGCATTTGAGGAGTTGTAACTTAGGAGAAAATAGGTAAACATTGTTCCTGGCTACCACAGGAGACTGTTCTTAGCTTTTAGTAATTTCAAGCTGTGTTTCTGGCATGATATCTCTTGCTCTCCCCTCACCCCCAATCAATTTAATGACTAAATGCTGAATGAACAAATTAACTTCCATTTGGATTGTACCTCTGAGGGTCTAACACTAATTGCTGTGAGTCTACATGTATTTCTGTAATAGAATTGTGTTGTATCAGTTTTTTTAAATGTTTAAATTTTATGGTCACAACAAGCTATTCCTCCTCGGTATGAACAATAAATTAGATATTGAAAAATACCTTGTCTATCCCTCAGTGATGGAAAGAATATTTCAAGAAGTTTTTTACCCTAAATACTTTTATTTCGAATGTAAGACTTTGCACATAGAAAATAGCAAGCTTGCACACGCAGCTGTTTACATAAATGGAATGTAAGCCATGAACTTTAAATGACGTGTGCACACTTAACAATTCTGATAGATTCTGATTGATAATTTTAGAGGAAATGAAGCCAGAAGATGATTGTACTTACAGAATTTTCAGAAAGTGGGAAATCAATTAAATCTGTAATCTAATCTAGTTTAGGATTTTTGTTTAATCATTGTGATGATAGTCCTAACTAGATCATTTAACTATAAAGACAAAAGAATTATATTAAGTGAACTAACTGAAAGTAATAATTACAGGAAGTTATTATTCACTTTTAAGTGCTAGAGCTCAAATTGGGTTTATTTGCATTTAGGAAGATTAATCCATTTTTCTTAATCATGCTGGAATTTAAATTTGTTTTATCTAAATTAA